CTCAGCTAGTTTCGACTAAGCTGTATGCATTCTCTAGTAGTGTTTTTCTTCCAATTCCAAGGTGCCTCAGTATGTGACTAGGTAAGTGTTTCTGATAAAAGTAGCCTTGAGTTACGGTTTAGAGTATTCTCAGCTAGTTTCGACTAAGCTGTATGCATTCTCTAGTAGTGTTTTTCTTCCAATTCCAAGGTGCCTCAGTATGTGACTAGGTAAGTGTTTCTGATAAAAGTAGCCTTGAGTTACGGTTTAGAGTATCCGCAGCCTGGTTATCTCACGTTTCCAGCTATTGTATGTATACATATGAGCGTGTCTAATAGTGCTTAGTCATCCCTGGTTACTGGTAGACCAGCCAATCAATTCCGACCAGGTTGCTACGCAGGACCACTTTCGACAAAGGTATACAGCGCTCCTGTGCTTGTGTGTGTGTGTGCGAAAGTGCTGATAAGCAACTTTCGGAAACCTAAAATACTTATGCATACAGTTTTTATACGAAATTTTCTTAAATGCTATATATATATATATATATATATATATATATATATATATATATATACACCTATATATATATTCGTTCGTAATCCTTCTTTGTGAAAATGAGACTCTGCGTTCAGTAGCTTGTTTCTTCTATAATATAGTTTTATATAATTATATATATATATAATATATATAATTATAGTTGATAAATATTGACAACATATATTGCATAGCCACATATGTTATCACAGCAGCTTAAGCATACTAGATAGTCCAGCAAATAAATCTATGAACAACACATATCGAACTTTAACTTTATAAAAATAAGAACTTTCGTTATTTGTTTACGTATATCTACAACATTTGGCGTAGTAATGTTCCATGTTTCTTTGAAGATGATTCAATTCTACGAACAACATTAACACTTGTATTCTAATCTATTATACATTTTTCTATTTACCTATTACATGCATTTTTTAGATTAATTAATGCCCAAGTCTACTTGGGCAAGATATTTAACCTAATCCGTTTACAGAGAGTTTAGTCACCTAATGTGTCGCAGGGACGTAATGACTAACAAATAGGCTATGACTAATGTGTAGACAAGTTAGAATTAGCTAGTCCATGGGCCCGCCCAGCAGCAGTGGAATGGGCGAAAACCACTATGATCACAACCAGCCAGCCAGTTATTGTAGTAACACGTTTACAGCACTATAGAAAGGGCACTATGGTAAGGGAATATTAGATTAGCTCGGAACAGGAATATTAGATGAAAGCGTACTACTACTGGCTGAGCCAACAAACGAAAAAGAGGGTTATCGTGTACTGTGTGGGTTTTTTTTTATTTCGCTTTGAAACTCGATAGGTGGCGCCACGTTACGATTCAGCGGTTTGTTGCAGTTCAAGCGTCAGACTTCCCAAATAGGCATCTGGTGAGCGGAGCACGAAGCTACGTGGAACAAGTGAGTTAATGTGTTCACTATTTGCGTACGACAGATACGAACGTAAGTTAAGAGAAACATGCATTGTGATGCAGTAATTAGATGTTTCGACTGGATGTTCGAAAATTCTTATGAATAAGCGGAAAAACATGTTCTTTATTCTTTATGTATGTATGTAGCCGTAAAGAAGGTACTAGCAGCTGTAATCGGCTGATTGGCTTATGCCTCTATTTCTCTAACTGGGAAGTATAGCTATCTGGCTTCTTGAAGTTAATAACTGAGGCTTATCTATTACAATTGACACTACAAGCAGACTCACGTTTGGTACAACCAAGTGTGGTGCTCGTTTCCGTATAATCAAAGTCTGTGTGTAGTTAACCCTAGCGTCACTTTAAGCGAATGGCGTCCTGCGTGGGTCGTAAATTATAACATCTGCATTTCCAAATTGTGTTTGTGACAAAATACTCGGCTAAGGATATGATTAGTTTTACGTTAGGTAAAGCTAGACTTCGAGGGGGCAGTGGAACAGGGAGCAGTGGAATTTTTTGAGTGGCTCATTTATAAGATGGGTGTCAACAGCTGTAGCTCGTTTGACTTGTATTAGGCTTAAAAGGAACACATCGAAGGCTTAAAAGGAACACATCGATACTCTTCCAACGTTCCTTATTAGCGTGACCATGTAAAGACATGGCCGTTGCTTTATTGAGGATATAAGCTGATGGCGTCTGTGTTTTTCCATTTCAAAATTCATCTTTCGTATCGATACTTGTGTTCGTAGATCAGTCCTGTTCCAGCAATTCGAATGGCTGCGTCAATCGTAGCTGGTTCCAACAAATATCCGCAAATACGAAGTACTGTGTAAATAGATTTAGATCTTGTTAATGATAAACCCCGTTACAGACCTCTGTCAGATAACTATTTTTGTCTGACAGTATGTATAGCTGGTGGATCCCACAGTTCTCTTGGAACAACTGTATTACGCCTTATTGATAGCGTTACCATTAAAAACAAATACTGACGTTATTGGTCGATTTTCTCCTTTTACAGACAAAATGGCAAACGGCAGAGGTGGTGGTAGAGGCGGCGGTGATTTTCACAATGGCCAACGAGGAGGAGGAAGAGGAGGAGGAGGAGGAAGAGGAGGGGGAGGAGGAGCAAGCGGAGGAGGAAGAGGAGGGGGAGGAGGGAATAGCCGTGGGCGCGGGCGTGGGCGCGAAATGGCTCCGAGGCAAATGCGCCAACCGCAAGAACCTTCTGAAATATGGGCAGGCCCCAAAATGCCCAAAACACCGCCTGTTATCGAGCCTTTGGCTGAACCTTCTCCAAGACTACCGTCAAGCAATGAACTACAGTTGGAAATTCAGAAACCGAAAAGCCCAGGACAAGTAAATTGTGCACAAATCACGTGTTTAACTAATTGTTTTCAGCTCAGTTTGGGCTCTAACATTAGATCAGCGTTTTTTTACACGGTACAGATCGAGCAAATGAGTAAGTCGAAAAAAGCAGGTAACCAGAAAGGTTCGGCGAAAAAGAAGCCTGCTTCTATAACACAAGAACCCTCGACGGGCCCGAAAAAGCAGCGCAGACTTAGTCTTAAATTAAACAGGTCTATCTTCTCAAAAATACCACCAAGCGCATTTGATAACCAGATGCTTGCTTATGATAGCAAGCAGCGTGCGTGCGGCCTTAAAAGGCTACCCAATGACAGCCTGGTTTATCAGGTAGAGTGTGATGACAGGTTTTGGCAGGTGACGCTTACCTATGAAAAAGCGGTAAATCTAGCCGGACTTAAACCGGGTAAAAACTTTTCCATGGGTGAAGAGTTTGAAGAGTCAATGACAGCGTTAATGTACATGCTGAATTATATGCCATCACTGCATTTGACGCCACTTGGCAGAGGGTTTTATGGATTACCTGATGAGCAACCCACAGTAATTTCAGGTGGGTTTGAAGTTTGGAGTGGCTATAGAGCCCATATTTTAGCAGCAGAAGACAAATTGATTTTGAATACTAACCGCGCCATTACCGCGTTCATAAGACCCGGCTACCTTGTAGAGCGTATGGCCGATCTTTTAGGTGTTGCGAGAAATGACGTTCCCACAGCTCTGCATAGAAAACAAATTTTAGAACTGTCCAAAAAGCTTTCACGGTGCAAAGCAGAGCTTACGCATCTCAAAAGACCTAAACATATTACCATACAAAAAATTACCCTTGAGCCTGCAAGCAAAATTTCATTCAGAGATCATGAGAACAACCCTATCCTTGTGACAGATTACTTCAGCAAAACCTATGGTTGCTTGAAATATCCAAACTGGCCTTGTGCGGAGGTCGGTGTTCGAGAACCTAGATATTACCCGCTAGAGGTTTTGAAAATACTGAGCGGTAATTCCTACCACGGAGAACAATCACGTGATATGGTGCGCGACATAATACGTTTGGCGGCCATTCCTCCGCGCAATAGGCTGGAAGAAATTAAATTCACCACGCGCTCGTTGATAAGTCACAAAGAGATAAAGGATGAGTTCGGTATGCATATTGAACCTATCGAAATGACGATTCCTGGAAGAATTTTGCCCACACCGATACTTACAGCAGGAAACAAGAAAATTGTCGGAGTTAACCCTGGGGTTATCGATTTCAGAGACAGTATGTTCTTTAAAACATCCAAGATTGATCGGTGGACAGTAATTAACACCGATGAAAGGCAGACACAGGATACGTTGCAGTGCTTTGCCAGAGCATTTCAGAACCAAGGAAAAAAAAGCGGCGTACTGCTTGCAAATCCTGTGCAGCACAACAACGAATTTCCAACCATAAGCGACCGTCAGGTGCTGAAAAACATCATACAACAGATCATTAAGATGGGTGAGATTTGTGCATGGGTTCTCGATCTTAAGATAATTAATCTTAAAATATTGCAGTATTTAGAAATAAAACAATATAAATAAAACGGCACTGTACAGCTTTGCTCTTCAGTCAAATCAATACATTTAATTAGATATAGATTATTTTATGAGATATCGATTATGTAATCTAACCTTTCCATCTGATATTAGTTATTTATTGCCATCGTACTAACTTCTGTTCTCGCTTTTTAAGTTACTGTGAACAAGCTTGACTTCATCATATTTGTGATCAGTAATTACACTGGCGTTCACGCTGCGATCAAATCTACATGCGATGTTACCCTCGGGGTGTCATCTAAATGCGTAAAATCAGATACGATCGAAAAAATCATCAGAAATGATCGCCCTGGCCCTAACCAATGTCTGGTTAACATCCTTTATGGATTGAACCCCAAGTTTGAGGGTGAAAACGTCGTCGGGATCAACACAGAGTTCGCGTTCAAGATGCTGACGAGCACTCCGACGATCATAATTGGTGTGTGATATATGAACATTTGGATTCCACTATGCAGTACAATTATGGCAATGGCGTAATTTTACGATCCAATGATACTTAATCTACGTCTACGTGTATTCTACTAATGTCTAGAATTCTAAATCAATTGACCGTAAAGGTGAAGTACTGCTACATCGCAATAAGCACT